CTGTTTTTGTTCGCAAATACTTATTCTTAATACTTTGGCCTTTTAAATTTATTTATAAATATTTCATCAAAATATTTTCAAATTTTTTATCACATGGTGATAATTTGACAACACGGACGTGATCCAGTACAATTTGGATCGATAATATTAAAGTTTGTCATGTAGCCTATATTATTAAAAATGGACCTATGTCCATTTTTAATATTATAGGCTACATGACAAACTCCACAATAATATATACAGAATAATAATATATATGCAGAAATTAGTGACGTAACTACGTTCTGGTTATTGTGAAATAAAAATAATCCGTTTCATAAATGTGTTTTGCAACCATAGAATTGACAACATAGGACAAACGAAGAGACCCGAAGACTTAAGGAACATTTAAGTGAAATAAAACGTGCAAGGAGAGTAGAATTTAGTCGGATTTTCGATTCTATGGTTGCAAAACACATTTATGAAACGGATCACACAATAACGGAAGATAACTTAAAGGTATTAACGGAGGTAAAAGGAAAACACAGGAGAGAAGTTCATGAAAGCATGCAGATATACAAATCAAAAAAGGACTGCCACTAAACACGGACGAAGGTAACGCGGCTACTTGGCTCTTTAAATTAGTTATTTGACCAGTTTTAAGGTTTAAAACAGGTATAAATTTAGTTTGTAAATAATAACAAAAAAAAAAAATAATCAAATTCTAGATTAAGTCGGGTAGATTATAATAAGTCAGGTATAATATTCCTAATTTTAAAAGATTTCAATTTTTATTGTTTGTTTCCTTAATTAGAAGAAAATCAGCTTTGATAAAGTGTGTATGTAGCGCACGACATATATTAGCGAAAAATAAAAAAAAAGTATTTTATTCCGAATAAAAGGAAGTTTTCTTTTCATACCAATAAAAAAAAAAGAATTATATTTCGGAAAAAATTATCAACCATTGAAAAAAAATTTTTCCTTTTGTACCATACTTTTATGCTGTTATTTTGTAATTAAGATAGACGTTTTTGAAATTTGTTTAGTTCGATGACCCCACAGCCATAGCTAGGAATCGTTAGACCCATATTTGTAATAAGTTCTTTTGTTCTTTCAGATTGCAAGTTTGAATCCGTTTTGATTATTTGTTTATGAAATGCAGATTTTTCGACATTATTAATTGCCACAACTAAAGCTCCGGTGCTTTTGCATTGATCTTCGAACTGTGTGTACTTCAAAGCTTTACCGATTCTGCGTGGTAATTTGACACATGTAGCTGTTATGTAAAATTTATCAGAGCTAAAACTTTCAGAGTTACTTTGAAAAATATTCGCTATTACATTCGACACGACTTTAAATGTTAATTCACCTGCATCCTGAAATTTTACACATCAAAGCTCTCATCGCAAAATATGAATCATATTTGATCTGTGGAATCGACTCCATCAAGAATGTATTATAAAACTTGTTCAATTGCGTTTTTTAACTAATCAGTTGGCTCTAAATGTGGTGGCGCTGCTTTAAATTTTGTTACACGACCTCGCGTAATTGTATTAAATTGGTTTATGACGGAAATGATTTCACTATCAATTGTATACGCGTTTGGATTTTTCTGAAAAGAATGCATAATTTTCTCTAAGATAATTTTCCGCACCATGTTTTCACCTAGCTTTATCAAGTAACACTAAACACGATAATTCAACATATTGCTTTATAAAAAGAAATCTTTAGTTACAATGTAAAAAAATCATATTTCAAGAATTTAAACTGTAGTTTTCAATTTATAAATAGAATTTTTGAGATATGATTGTGGGTTAATGGTTTGAAATAAATGACAACAACAACGACAACTCACTATTCCATCAAGCAATCTATTGAATTCAATAGATTGTTTTTCGATTGGGGTTGACGAATGCCACACCATAAAAGAAAAATAAGAACCAGACGTAGAGTTTATGAACATCTTTAACAACATTTGGATTGATAAAAAATTCATTTCGGTCCAATAAATGGACCGACTTAGAAGGCGTAGAAGAAAAAATATCAAAAACAACAAAAAAACCTTATTCGTTATTTGCTACCCAAAATTATTATATATTCATGCCTGACCTTCATGCAAGGATATTTAAAACTAATAGCATATTATTACAGTTTGGCAAATTCCGGTCTTTTTCAATAAAAACGTCGGATAATAAAAATGTCAATATATCAAAATAATTATTTCTTAATTTACTTTAATTGTTTTAGAAACATAAAAAAATGAATATTAAAATTTTGATACAATAAAAAATTTTTTATTTACATTAATTATTTCATAAACATATAAAATAAGGTTGGGTCAAACCAATGGTTTGCATTGTAGCACTTTTCGCTTCAACAAGTGAAAATTCTGCTTTAAAATACAGTCTATGTACACCTATCACACTATTAAAATTATTTTCAATCATATACGGAACTATTTCTAGGATTGCATATATTTAGAATGAAGGATTTATGCAGTCTTTGAAATAAAGCAAAAATTAATATAAAGTGGGGTTAACATAATGCTCGATTTTAAGGTTTAATTGTGTGAATTAAGAAAAATAATTGTATTTTTTATTTACTGTTAGATTTTTGAGTTTATAGAAATTTGAAAAAGCTTGCGGTTTCGGAAATATAAAGCTCAATTCAAATTTTACAAATTTCAAGGGGCGATAATTTCAGAGGGGGCGGAGATGGAAAAAAATTTTCTTCTAACGAAATGGACTATTTGCCAGTGCCTAAAAGCTACTAAAATTTCAGGCTCCCACATCTTGGGGTCTAGAAGAAAAACAGCATCAAAAATTAAAAAAAAACGGATTTTGTGTAACGGTAAATTTTAACGGCCTTTTTATACCCTGCACTTCGTGAAGGATATATTTGTGGTAATATAAAGTATAAAAGAAAAACGTGCTTTTGTTAAACAAAATTTTTTCAGAAAATCTTAATATAAGACTATTTCGGGGCTCAAAAGTTTCAAAGTCCGATTTTTCTGGGATCCTAGAAGCAAAACCCTATCTAATGCCTTTTGTCTCATATCTCTAGCCTTTCTAGAAGTACCCGCACTTTTTGACACCTGGAAACTAGCTATATATATATAATAAAGTAAAATAGGATGATTTTCGAAGAGTTATACGAAATATGAATAAAATATAGAATTATAAAAGGAAATTCAAGGTACTGCGTAGCCTGGTGGGTAGCGCGGTAGTCTGATAATCAGAAGGTTATTAGATCGATGCTTGCCTGGATATTGTCGTATTTTTCTTTTTTTGGATTACTTTAAAAAAAAAATTTTTATAGTTTTGTTTAATTTTTTTTAATATATAATAGATAAATTACATTATAAAAGTTTAAAAAAAATTTCCAGAAAAATGTTGTTATAATTGTTTGGAAAAATTTAAATTACATACAACAAAAGAAAAACGTGCTTTTGTTATACAAAAATTTTTTCATTAAATCTTAAAATAGAGCCTTTTTTCCCATGTCTCTAGCCCTTCTAGAAGTACCCATACTTTTTGACGACTGGTTTTCGTTTATTCAGTTCTAGAACAGTTCTAGTTTGTTCTTCGAAAATTCACGCTACATACACTAAAATTATAGATCGTTCGAAAATTACTGGCTGCAATAAAGTGCGTTCGGAAATGCAATCTGCAATAAAGAAATGTAAGAAATGCAGCACAGACGTCTGGTATAAATTTTGCTGCTGCCTCATAAAATTTTAATTTTTTTTTTTAATTTAAAATACAAAAAAAAATTAAATTTTTTTTTAATTTAATTTTAAAAAATTAAATTTAAAGATTCAGATATTGAAGGGTTATTAAAGTAAATTTTCTTTAAGTCTTCAAATCGTGTTAAAATTTCCTTACTTTGCAGTGAATTGGAAGGCTAAAAGTATTGGGATACAATTTCATAAACAATGTCATTTCTGTTATTTTCGAACGAATATGCGTAAACAAAAAAAACTTAGCTAAAGTTTTTGCTTGTTGTTGAACGCTGAAACTTAAATATTTTAGTTCTAAAGTGGAACTTTCAGCTTTACGAATATTCAGCTTTATTTTTCTAGAAGCGTCACATTTGTGAATGTTAAATTTTTTTTTTTATTTTACTAGACGCGAAATGTGGTGTAACACAAGAAGCGAGACTTGAAATTTTATGATGTTGAACGGTAGAAAAATTGTTTTTAAATAAAATGGTGACAGGAAAAAGTACAAATTACAAATAGCAAACTAGAGAAAGAAAGATGTTTTCGTAGTTTTTTTGTTTTTGATAAAAGCAGAAGCAAAAGTGGAAAAAATTAAGGACTTTTCACTGAAATTACTACAATTACACAATATTGCTATAAAAATATCTAATTACACTTATATTTTCTCCATTTTCTTTAAATTTTATTTTTCAGCAACTTTTATACCTCAGTGAACAACTACTTATACACAACTAAATGTGACAAAAAGATGTGAGTATTCTCAAAAATCCGTCTAGCAAAATGATATTATGAATGCTTTTTGACACAAATACTGAAATACTGAAATGTAGAATAGCAAATCTGTTATCTCACATATTTTTATATGCAACGTCTAGCAGAATAAGGCTGATTAATTTTTTGAATCGATATATCTTTGAAACCGTCTAACGGATGTGCTTATGTTCAATAGGTAATAGAATGATGACTTTTCAATTTTTAATTTGACCTTTGGCTGACCTTGATTGTTTAAGAAATATAAACTTTTAAAAATTTCTACTTTTAAACATTGACGGTCCATTGACGGTTATTATCCTTCAAGGGCGTATTGGCCAAAAGTTTGAAACCATCTAACCTCTGTAAAAGCCAAAAAGCCTTGAAAATTTCTAAAAGCTTCCTTCGAGAATTTGTCTTGAAATCGATTCTTTTGCGAAAAATATGTTTCGTGTCGCAATATATTAAATATGAACAACAATATCAACACGACTGTGACGTAAAGACAAGTCGATACGACTAGCTTTTTTATATTATTAAAATAAAGTACCTTGCAAAACATGTTTGACATTCGTAAGGTTTTTCTCATTATTCACAGGTATTGCATTTGATTGATCCATTCAGGAGTAACGCGAAAACCCGGCGTTCACCACCTACATCTGAATAAAAATATAGAAGGTGGACTACCAAACACTCAAGCTTCACAGACCAATAAGGATATAAACATGAGTAAAGCTCAAGCCAAAATAATTGATGATCAGAATGCTGACATACACAAAAGGATTATCCAACTAGAACAGCCCTGTGTGGCTTTGAAAAACGAGGTTCTTCAACGGAGAGCTGAGAATGAAAAGCTAAAGAAAGAGAAACATGTGCAAATTACAAACAATAAGTCTAATGATAGTAGTCATAAAGAAAAAGACGCTACCCCACAAACAAAGCAGGTGAGATCAATCATAGACGCATAACAGATGAGGAAGAACTCGCCAGAGAAAGCATAAGAGATGTTCCTGATTCTCAAAGTCGAGGCGTTGTCACGAAAAACTCTAGGCCGCCTCCAGTAGTTATAAGTAATGTGGTTGACTATCAAATAGAGTCAACATTAAAAAATAAGGACTTCAATTATAAGGTTAAAATGATGAACAACAATCAATTTAAGGTCATTGTAAATTCCGAAATGGATTACAGGAACCTTACCAGGGCCATGAATGGATCTAGACTAGAATGGCCTACGAAAATACCTATGAAAACAAGCAGGCCATACCAATAAAAGTCATGGTAAGAAATGTTCACCCCAGTTGTAAACGGAAAGATATAAAAGAAGACTTAAGGTCTAGGGGTTACAAGATCTTAAATGTAACCAATGAAATAAAAAATTAAAGAAAATGGGAAAAACGTTATGGTGCCTCTGCCGCTGTTTATGTTAACGTTTTCAAATGCAGAGGAGAAGAAAAAAGTTTATGAAATCTATTACATAAACCGGATGAAAGTTAGGATAGAGGAACCTCGAAAGAATAGGACCATTCCGCAGTGTAAAAGGTGTCAAAGGTATGGGCATGTGCAGGCACGTACTTAGCCGGAGATTATAGTAAGCCAAAGAGTACTGCAGGGAAGTGTTCCAAATGTTTAGAGGCCCACCCAGCAAACTATAGAGGATGCCTTATAACTAAAGAACAGCAAAAACGTAGAAATAATAACAGCAACAACAACTTGAAGAAGAATTCTGACCGGCTACCGATGCAATTCGCCTCGAGAATAGTCTCAAAAGATGTATCATACAAGGATGCAAACGAAAACCGATGACAGTGGCACGAGCAATTAAGCAAGGGCTAATGACGTGAACGTTTTATATAAAATACAAAATATGATGCAAAACATGTTAGATATGATGGATAAAATCTCTCAGAGGTTGAGCATTTTAGAGAGCGAAGGAAAAAAATTGAATACCAAAAGACCTGGTAAACGATGGCAGGAGGTAGTTTTAAAATAGCAACATGGAATTGCAAGTAAAAAGGACATGCTTGAAGTTTCTTTACATACAAAGAATATAGAATATAGTTTTTCTACATATAACAGGATAATAGAATTCAGTCTCCAGGTTATAGGATTTACAACTCTAACCACTCTGGATATATAGCGAAAGGCGGAACGGCGATAATAATAAAAGAAAATCCAGATTGGCGTTTCAGATCACTTCGACTAAACAAAAATTTAGAGTGGCTGTATTATATTGTCATCCCAGATTTAAGATAATGGCAGAAATGTTTCAAAACGTTCTGGCCGACCTAGGCGTAAGATACAGGGGGGTGACTTTAACGCCAAACACACTGATTGGAGTTCAAGGCGTAAAGGAAGACAACTTAGGACAGCAATTGGCGGTGCAGGTTGCCTTTTTCACTCTACTGCGAAGCCAACGTATTGGCTAACCGATGTTAATAAGTGTCCAGATTTAACAGATTTCTTCATAACAAAACGGATTGCAAAAAATTTCATTGAGCTATATAATAATTATGATCTTAATTCCTATCATTCAGTGGTTATCTTAAACTTAAGGAAAATATTCTAATGAAAAGAGCGAAACCTGAGCTGACAAATGGAATTACAGATTGGTCAAGATTTCATTTAGTCATTGAAGAAGGAAAAGAATAAGAATGACCCAGCACATAGATGAGGAAGCCAAAAATTTTACTAAAATTATTCAAAATTCGTCATGGAATAGTTCGAAAATTAATGCTATTAAAAGGGGGGGTATTAACTATCCCCCACATATACTAGCAAAAGTAAGACAAAGCAGTCGGGTAAGAAAGAGGTGGCAGCAAACGAGTGATCCTACTGACAAAACCAGATATAATCGTGAATCGCTTTGCCAATTATGTTCAAAATTTGTCGGCGTGTGAGAAAACCAAATACTCGCTGTGGAAGTGAGTATTCACAACAAAGAAAATGAAGCAACCTATCAAAGATCTCGCTCCTATTAAAAACAAATATGGAACGTGGGCAAAAACTGACAAGGACGAGGCAAATGCGTTTGCATATCATTTGGCTGATAAATTCTACCCACATGATAGTTAGGGCGTGTATGAAAATGGCGAATCTGCTTTCGTTTTTTTGAATTGTCAAGGAAAGAGATTTCATAGAGGAAATCGGGACTCTTAAGCCTAACAAGGCTCCAGGATTTGTCCTAATAACGGCCGATATTTTGAAAAAATTACCCAAAAGGGGTACAACAATACTTACACGCCTAATAAATGCATGTATAAGGTTTAATTACGTGCCTGACATTTGAAAAGTTGCAGAGATAATCATGCTGCACAAACCTGGCAAACCTATAGAAAGAACGACTTCTTATAGACCAATCTCATTGTTGCCGATGATTTCAAAACTGCTAGAGAAACTTTTGTTGAAAAGATTTCAGCCTATAATTGAAAGTAAAAGGTTAATCCCGAATCATCAATTTGGTTTTCGCCGGAATCACTCAACCATAGGTCAGATTTATGGAATAACTGACCTAATAGAAAATTCACTGGAAGAAAAAACAATATGTTCTATCATATTTTTGGACGTAGCCCAGGCCTTCGATAAGTTTTGGCATTGTGGATAAATAAAAAAACTTAGTCAATTACTACCAAGACTGTATGTTAACCTGCTCTAATCTTACCTGACTAATAGGGTATTTCGAGTTAAACAGGAAGAGGAGTGCTCTTCGCTTAGAGATATCAGGTCTGGGGTACCACAGGGGAGTATATTGGGCCCGATATTATACTTGCTATACACGCGTGATATTCCTGAATCGGAAGGAACATTCACAACAGCTACATTTGCTAATGATACAGCAGTTATCGCAATAGGACGAAATGAAAATGAATCTACACAAAAATTACAAAAGACCAGTGACGAGATCTCAAAATGGACTAGAAAATGGAATATAAAACTTAACGAGGTGAAATCAGTACACGTGAATTTTACTAATAGGAAAATTGACAATTCATTTTCGGTTCGGATAAACGACGTCTTGATTCCGTCCGCAAACACGGTTAAGTATTTGGGAATGACGTTGGACGCAAAGCTCAGATGGAAGAAGCACATAAAGAAAAATAGATCTGAACTCGAGGAGGAATACAGAAAGTTTGAATGGCTTTTGGGAAGGTGTTCTAAGTTGACAATATATAACAAAGTTTTAATATATAATCAAATATTTAAGCCTTTCTGAGCTTACGGTATTCAGTTATGGGGCTGCGCTGCTCAGACTCATATCCAATCTATTCAAAGATTTCAAAATAGGGTATTACGGGACATTGTAAACGCCCCTTGTTATGTCCGTAATGCCGATATACACAGGGATCTCATAATCCTAAGTGTCACAGACAAAATTGAAAAGCAAGCAACCAACCATAAAATGCATTTATCCAGTCATGTCAACAACGAGGCGGCTCGATCGGTTGACAATCAAAACTTTGTTAGGAGACTTAAATATACGAGACCTCTCGAGTTAGTTTAATGTTTTTTATCTGGAACAATGAGTATCTAGTACGTTATTGTACCAGATAGAAAGCTTGTGAATAATCAAAAAGGTTGGAGCAAAATTAATGGTTAGTCGTTTCCAGCTAATTTTATAATTTATTTTGAGGAGGGCGTTTTTTTGTGGATTGAAGTTCCACACTACTGCTTTTCATCTGGCAGTGTCTTTCGAGATTTTTCACTCTTCCTCTTGATAAAAAAAAAAAATATTTTTGTTTTTCTATATCAGTTACGCATTTTGAGAGCCAGCCTGAAGCTTCTTGTTTATTTGTAAAAAACTTATTCATCATATTTGTAACCAAAACATCTGTATGCAGCCTTATCATTATTACAGTTTGGTATTCCCGAAATTCATAAATTTTCGAAAATTTATAACTATTAACGAAATCAATAAATTTTTCTTTGCTAGAAGTTCTACTGAATGAAAACATTAACTTATTGTTTAGTTTTACTGGAAGAATGAAAAGTAGTAAATACGTTCGCGGTAAAATTTTTGACAATTTAACGGTTCCGTCAATTTGATCCAATTTTAAGGTAGAGCATACACTTTTTCCAACATATATTTTCGGAAAATTTTCCATATTTGTAAACTGAAAGGTATTAAGAACAGATGTCTCTATATCTTACTTTTTCTACTTCTTAACATTTATAATAATTGTAGATGTTGCCTCTTCGCCCGCGATAAAAAGCATATCGGCGATTTAATTGTGATTCAAAAATTAAAATCGCATTCTCACATTTCAATAACCTCGAAACCCAATTTCATAATTGTTTAAGCTTTTCAATGGTTCTTTCATACCTGGTGTTCAATGTGTCGTTTTTATCGTCATGCAGACTATTATTTGGATTATGTGGCAGACTAACCATTTAATAGTCACTTTTGATTTGTTGTCCGAGTTCCTGTACCCGTGTTGTGAAATATCAATAAACTGATCACATCTTTGCTTAAAAAGAAATAAAATTGTTTTATGTTGTTTAGTAGCTATATCTGTTTTATTTATAAGTTTTTCTTGAAATTTTTGTTTTGTTTTGTTTCTAAGTCATAAAATATAAACAAAAAATCTTTT